TTTAACGCTGGTTAGGGTGTAAGAACGTGGTTCCCGAACCCCGATCGTGTTAACCATTTTTGTTGCAGCCGTAACATAGCTGCATCGTGACAATACCACGTGACTGGCTGCGCGTGACTCTCCACGTTTCCTCACGACGTTTTAATTAAACGTCAAGCAAGTCATGAACCACCACTTAATTTTTTTTTTATTTATTTATTTTACCAAACGTTCACTGCTGAACATAGGCCGAACCCACAAATTGCAGCATAGTTGGGATACTTGCGATAGTTGTGATATTTGCCAGGGTTATAAGGCGGGTTGGCAATCTTAGTTTTTTATTATTTTGATTTGTCAAAAGGATGTGTAGCCGCTGGTAGGAAAAGGGGAGATCTCCCGCCGGGCAAGGTGTTCAGCCCGGGAAGTGGCAAACGCTCCAAGTGGTACTTCGGAGCTATTCTATCATACTGCTTTTACTTCGGAACTTTGATAGCGCGATTTAGGTTTCGATGTGTTTCGCTTGTGGCGCGACGATCTTCTGTTTCATTTCTCTTTGTCACCTCATATGACGAGATGATATGAGGGTAGTGTATTATTTTCTTACGCCGACACTACACGGCTAATTCAAAGTTACAATTAACAACTTCATTGGTGACTGACTGAGCACTTAGCCTATTTATTTACACTAGCCAAATTATATATCAATGAAATTGGGACTTGACAAAAACATGTAGGTAAATACATATGCCCCATATACTCCTCTAGAGGATGTTATTAAACAACAAAGAGAACAAGTGTAAAACTACACAAAATGTAGGTCATCATAATGTTATGAACATAAAATTGTAAAATTTTGAGCTGAGCACATCCTCCTCTCATTTCTGGCAGAGCGTAGGGCAAAGGAATGTCAGCCGCATTGCACCACTGCATGTTAGCGGACTTCAAATGTCTTCGAAATATTTATTAATTTCTCATTCATGCAAGTTTTCTGACGATATTTTCTTTCATCGCTGAGCATGTGGTAATTCAGCATTATAAATATCAATTTATAATTTTTTAATTGGCGATGTGGTTGGATCAAACCTAGGTTGCTCGCATAATGTGAAATGTACAGTGTGTGATTAGCCCCTGACCTACCATGAGTCATATGAACAAATTTTTTTATGTCATTTTCTTCTACTTTAATTAAAAATTATTAATGCTACGCTCTTCTAAGGAAATGCATCAAGCTTAAGACTGAAGAAGAATGGGTACATATAAATATTTATTTATTTAAGCTTTATTTACAGAAATAATATAGATGAAAAGGCAGACTTCCCCTACAACCGGTTTTTATTGTATAATTTTGCTTTAAAAGTCCCACTGGGTTCCTTGCTGGTTCTTCCCAGGACACGGTTATTTCCAAACCAGTCGAAATAAAAAAATTACTTTCAATAAGGATTACTCACTTTTAATCTATATTGAAAAAAATGTCAGTAAACATTTCTTGCCACTTGCGATTGCTAGTTAGTATGCAAATGCAATATAATGTTAATATTCATATTATATATGCAATTAAGAAACAAATTGAAATAGACAATGCTCGAGAACATTACAATACAAATCTTATTACTTGTTTCATCTAATAATATAGTAAAACAAACATCTTCTTCATCATCAGCTTAGGTAATGCATTCTATATTCATTACAATTATTTATTTTTTATTATTAAATCAAAGTGACATACAAACTTATGTGGACACCTGTAACCAACTTAAAAAAGAAGTCTACAGATAAATTGTCACTATACTTATGGCTAAGATAGTATTCCTTAATTATAATAGCTCTCTATTTCCTTCAGACCTAAAACACAGCAGTGCATGCACTACCGGCGGCAGAAATAGGTAAATGCATGGTTTTTTTTTTATAGGATACGGTGACAAACGAGGACACAGTCCACCTGATGGTAAGTAGTTGCTGTGGCCCATAGACATCTACATCTATTCTCGTTTGCGAATCAAAATGCTGATGCATTGTCACCCGTGAGGATTAAGATGGAATGCCTCTTTTCCATTGAAAAGGGTCCCCAGTTCTCTACACTCCCCACACGAAACACAACAGTGTTAAGCTGCTATTTTACGCTGGTATTCTGTAAGAGCGTGGTCCTTCCCCGGTCGAGCCGACTCATTCGTGCTACAACTATACTACTAATATAGCTGCAGCATGGCTCTACCACGTACAAACCCAAACAGGTTAATAGGCAGAAAAGGAATCCTTTCTTTTGCATGGGGAAATACCTATGCATACCCGCCACTCGGGGGCAAGGACAGGTTATGTCGGACTCGCACCCACTATAAGTGTTCCACCTTCGTCGCATAATGGCAGGGCCACGGGAATGCTTTCGCACACATCTGTGGCCCCACCAGCGTTAACCGGCCCCTCCTCGGGAGAGGACTAGTCTTTCCCCACCTGCTTCTCAGGTAAGGCGTACCAGAACACATGGCAGGCCGTCCTCCACAGCCTCCAACTTCACCTGTGCAGTGGACACCACTGTGTCCAATGCGTGAAGGCGATGGGGCCAGGAAAAAAACGAGCACTCAGAAGCATTAGATTTTCTAACCCTTTTATAATTTTATCACTAAACCTCATTTCATTTACTTAGCCCTCTCATGTTGATTGGATAAGCTTTTGAAATCAAATAAAACCACATTTTGATAGAGGATGTTAAGTATACTACGGTATAAATATGTGATAAAATCAATAAAATTTGTTCCATTCAATGATTGCTACTTCATGTGATTAAATAACAATATAATTTAAAATAAAATTATATTCATATAAGTCTCTCTCTCTCTCTGGTCTGTGCCCAGCAGTGGGACATATATAGGCTGTAACTTTAACTTCTTTACTGTTACTGTATATTGATACAAGAAATAATATATTTAATGAATATAGTTATGTTTATATATCAATCTCTACTTAGTATAAAATAAAGTCACTTCCTGCCATCTGTACACTTAGATCTTTTAAATTACGCAATGGATTTTGATGCAGTTTTTATCAATAGACAGAATGATTCCAGATATTATGATGATTAGGTTTATATGTATAATACGTGCATATTATATATTATATAATTCTGCTGTCTGTGTGTATGTGACTGAACTCCTCATTAAAGGCTGGACCAATTTTGATGAATTTTATGTGTTGATTAGAGAATGGTTTAGATTCAGAATTGTACCCAGTAGGTGGTGTTGTTGTCAAAGTCCAGAAATCAACTGTGCAAAGCCAGGGCGGATGGCTAGTTTAATAATATTATGTTAACCTCTCCTCAGCTTGATGGCTGACAAAGGTAAATAAAAAAATAATATCTAAAGCATGTTTTTTTTTTAGTTTAGTTTAGTTCAGATTTGTGCAAAAAAAAATAAAGTGCATAATTTATTGATTGATTTCGAAGTTTGAAATTAATACAAAACACTAAACTAGTTTGTTTGGGCTATTGATAGTCTAAAAATATTATTCTCTAAATGACCTCAATAACACATGGAAGATAAAAGATCAATGCCCTGTGTTTTATTTAAAAAAGACGTAAGGAAACTTGATTTTTGATATTGTTAATTTTAGACTTCTAAATTATTATTATTTTTCCACCTATTGGCCAGTTCTTGATCCCTACTCAAAAATATAGTGCTGTCTCAGCGTAACAAAAGTTATTATTTATAATTTATAAATAAAACATTAGAATTACAATAACTCTTAATTTATCATCTATAATAAAATGAAAACTAAAACTAGTGACATAATTATCAGACCTACTCCCCGCAGTATCGTGCTAAGAACACTGGCTGCATTTCCCCGCTGAAAGGTTATACTTAGCCTTTGAGCGAGAAAAGAACCAGCCCTCTTACAATTAGGATATCAATATTGATCAAGCTGTAGCTCTTATCCAGAATCTGAATGTTTATCTCTGCTATGGATTAATGTTATGTGGTGATTTAAGAGAAATCACTGCACTTTATTATTCGATGGCCATTGTAAGAGGTGACAGAGGGAAGCTGGAAAGGGAGATGGGCACCAGCATCTTCCTAATACCAATTCAAAATATCTCCCCTAGAAGGCAATCTGTGGGGGCCTATGTTAAGTAGGAAACTTCCGTGTAGTATGTTATAATGAATGATGGATAATTGGCTTAGTTTTTCATTAGAAACATTTTATTTTAAAGTATTATTCAATCAATTTATCAGAATAGGTTCTTTGATTATAAAATGTACATTTGCATTTTGTCACTGATTATAATTGCTGGTCAACAAACAGTGCTTTCATTGTTAAGAAGTGGATACCAAGTCACTGCTATATAAAGGCATTTTTTTAACCAACTTCAAAAAAAAAGTTATGTGTGGTTACCTCAAAACTTTTTTCATTTTGATGATTCTTTTTTTATTTAAAATCTGGTGCTTCTCATGTGGTCCAATATAAACTTGATCAAGATCTGACCAGTAGTTTTTGAGTTATCCTTAATAATATGTATTTAATTGACTTTGACTACATTGATGATGTTCTCATTTTATTTATTTTGAAGTCAAAATATTTAGTTTTACCAAGTGGTAAAACTTTTATGATTGTTTTGAATTTGTAAAGAAAATTTATTAGTATTATCAACAGAGTATTATTTTCTGTACTTCGGTAAACTTAAATTTATTTAGGTATATAAATAGTTCGTAAAGAGATAGCAGTAAATTCCTGTGCAGAAACAAGTTAAACTTAAGTAAAGTCATGAGAAAACTCAAAAAACAAGATACCCTTTAGTATTTCACGGTCAAGTTTAGCAATAAAAAATAAACATTGAAAGCACAGACGAAACAAAGGCTGCCCATGACACTTCGCAAAAAAAATCAATGTTGCACATTTAATCTTTTAGGATTTAATTTAGTGTTTTCGCTAGTATTACAGTTCAAGTAAATATACGATCATTGCGTAAGAAGCTTCCCGTGAAAATACAACGCAAATAATTGACGTAAGGTAATAAACAGATGAGAGCTCACCTAATACAAATTCCCAGGCATCGCAGCCCAGGGATCGCTCAGGAACAATTTCTAAATCCAACATCGTGCACAAAACACTAAATACACACTAAACTAATTAACTTTCACTTCAGAAAACTCAATTTTAACGTTCAAATGCGCTATTACGCTGCTTTTCTTTGTTTGCCAACTTTAGTTTTCAACCATTTTGTATTTGTCAGAGGAACTGTCATTACAAACAGCTGATTGTATTTAGTCAGGGACGTATTAGAGGCATTCCAATACATCACAAAATAATTTAGTAAAATATAAACACTTTAGCAATGAGGGCTAATAATTTTCTGCTCACCAGATGTCACTATTTGACACTGAAGTAAAGTTTTTTGTTACACAATGTCATTTAATTGAGAAGTTAGTTTTAATAAAACTTTATCAGTTTCTAGAGTATTATATTAATACAGAAAACAAGGCCTCAGTGGTTACACCGATATTGTCTAAAATTTAAAAACTATTTTCATATTTCATGATTATAAACCACACAATTATAAAACTGGCATAAAAATATACATAGTACAATACATCTATTGGACTTTGGCTAAAAGACAATCTTCATGCTTCGTAGTTTTGGTAGAAACACAATCTAACATTCCCAAACGCCATAGCAAACTATACGGTTAATCCACTAAAACACTGAGAAATCCCTGACACAGCAAAAAAACAAGACAAAACTGTTGTTCAGAATATAAAGGCATAATGTACCTTAATAAGGCAAAAAACCTACCTCATGAAGGTTATTATATCATCCAGCTAAAACATAGGAACTAAAGACTTAGAAGAACTAAGCAACTATCATTTATATATATATATATATATTATAATAACAGAATTACCTATTATATTATGAATACAAACATATTCTGAAGAGAAGAGGCATATTCTGAATACAATCATACTAAAAATAAAAGGCACTACGGGGATAAATGTTTATACAGATATACAAAAATACTAGATGCTGACGTCAACATACATGCAAAAAAATTATGTAGCAATTATTTTATTCGTTTTAGTTTCTGAAGTCACTTTTTACTTTTTTAAAGTTTATTTTTTATCCTTTTGCGCGAACTTAGGACAATCACAATTTCAAATAAAACTAGAATGTCGTCTTAAACTTTACATTGAAATCTTAATCCTATTCCTCTTAAAATTTTAATTTAATTTTAATTTCAATATAGTAATGTATTGTCATCTATCTATGTCACTCACATTTTGTAATGGAATTAAAATTTCAATTGAATACGGCTCTGTAATAGCACAATGACGCATGCGTATCAAACATGAAGGTAAATTTTAATGTTGTAGGCATTGTTTTATATACATCTCATTCATGCTAGTTTGTATTACCTCTCTCCATCTCTTTCTCACGGACAGTTTGCTTATCTTCCTTCCACTCAAAAAAGTTTGCTATCTTTGTCTCTGTTTCACAAAATTGTTATTGACAACTTTGAGATATTTTGATTTTTGACAGTCGTCACTTACGTGTTCCTAATTCATTGCTTGCATATAATAAAAACACATTTTTTTTTTACATTAGCGTTAAAAGAGCAATGTATAATTCTTTATTTTTAAATATAACTGTTTGTGTTCGAAATCACGAACCTTTGTCCGTTAAACAGCTTGTCCTAACTAATGTTACTTGTACTATTATCTATTCTGTGCTAATGTTTAGTTCCAATCTACTAAACAAAGAAACAACCAAATATATTAAAAATTTATTAAACTAAACATTATTTCAATGTTCATACTTCGCCGACTAATAAAGCCTAGATTATAAATAAAAGAAACTAATAAAACTCAAACCGCCTTATTCCAAAACACGGACTTAATATAGTACTGGAGTTAGTAATATATTTAAACCATAAACTAAGAAAAACGTTATTACAAAACGAAGATTATCTCTGGTTCAAGGATTATCTATGGTATTAAAGTTAATCTTTCGAGACCCCTAGTTTAGCTATGGTACTAACCTTTCTATATAGTTTGTGGTACTCTATACTAACCTCAATTTCGGTACTTCTTAATTTGAGGTGAGCGTTGTTTTCATTTGGTGTTATTAAAATCGTTAAAAATGGATATTAACATGATTGACTTGATGGATTTAGAAGATTTGGACATGCTAGACACCACTCGGCGACCTGATAGACATCGACATCGTGTGAATCCGTTTGAATTGAGTGACGAAGATTTTAGGTATAAGTATAGGTTCTCAAAACGTTTCGGAGAAAAAATAGTGGGTATCTTACGTGAGGATTTAGTGCACGACCCTCGAGGATGCCCATTGAGTCCTGAAATTCAAGTGGTTTGTGCATTACGCAACTGGGCTCGCCATGAAGTAAGTGCTGTTTATAATCTTGGTGGGGTCAATGTACCTAACATTACGCTAGATAAAAAGCCAAATAATACATATTATTGTTTTATTCGTAGATTCAAGACGATACAGCTGATTTACATGGTGTGTCTCAACCAGTAGTAAGTAGGACATGTAAAAAAGTAGCGGAAATTTTGTCACGGAAGCCCTGAGAATTTATTAAAATGCCTACTACTTTAAATGAACAGCAGGAAACCATTAGGAAATTTCGCAGTATTGCTAATTTTCCTACAGTAATTGGCGCAATTGACTGTACTCACATACGAGTAAAGAAAGTGAATGCTGATGGGGGTCAGTTATATATTAATAGAAAAGGATTTTCTTCAATTAATGTACAGGTAATATACAAATATTTTAAATAGCTGTGATTGTCTCTTAATAACTTTACTTTATCATAATAGAAAATAATTTGTTTGACTATCTTATGGTAATAAATATATATTAAAATAAACCAGAAAAACAAAGTACTAATGAGCTCTTATTTTACAGGTGGTTTGTGACGCTGACCTGAAAATCATGGACATTGTAACCAGGTGGCGTGGTAGTGTACATGACTCCAGAATATTCCGAGAATGTAGACTAAAACAGAGGTTTGAGGCTGGTGCATTCTCTGGAATATTACTTGGTGACAGTGGCTATGCTTGTACCCCTTACCTATTTACACCGCTGCTGAACCCCACAACACCACAAGAAGAAAGATATAATAGGAGCCATATCTGTACCAGGAACACAGTGGAAAGATGTTTTGGTTTGTGGAAGCAACGGTTTCGTTGCCTATTAAGAGGTATGTTTGGAGATATTGAAACAGCAAAAAAAACAATTGTTGCATGTGCTGTACTACACAATATGGCCATCGACATGAGAGAAGATGTGTTTCCTGGTGAGAGAGATAGCATTGAACAATATTCATCTGAACCTATAGTACAAAGATATATTGCACCATCAATAAGGGGAAATATTAGAAGAAGACAGTTTATTGAAACTCATTTTCAGTAGGTAAACATTTTTTTTTTACATATTTATATAGCTATTTATAATTAAAATTAATAATTATATTTATAAAATTGTCAATTTTTTTTCAATTGTCTAAAGCTATGTATATATAATTTATTTTATTTTGTTATTCAGAGGCCAATTTTGGCTATAAAATTACATTAAGGATCAATAAATGTATAAGACAATTATAATAATATTTCTTTTTGATTTCAGAGATAATACCCATTTATAAAGGAAAATATTTCTGCAGAGCCGTTGTCAGCTGTCAAAGAATAACGACTACATATTCACCAATATGAAATAAATTCAGGGTAGTATTGTGATAATATTTCATTTATTGAGCAAAATGCTTTTATTTAGGCTATAAATGATTGTGTTTCAGGGAAAGATGCGGGGTACAGCACATTCCACATCAATATGAAGCTATATTATATAAAGATTTAAGTGCTTTAGAGATATGTTTAGATTTTTTAATAAATATCGTCCCTCCTCTACATTCACAGCCGGATTTCCTTTCCAGAGGTGCACGGGTCCACGGGGAGTAGGACTGTATGATGACTAAGTAATTAGGTTTAGTTTTTTTTATTATAGTTTTTTACTATTGTATATTATATTTCACTGTTATGTAAATAAAATGCATATTAATTATAATTATTTATTTTAATTATTAATAAAAGATGTACAAATATTTGCAGCAATTTAGTACCTGAAAATAATTGTTTCATATATGAGGATATTTACAAACATGTATCTGATATAGTCTCAAATATTTAGTTTTTTTATAGGATAATGGTGATAAAACACAGTCTACCACACACACATACACACACACAGTCCATCTGATGTTAAGTAACTGCTGTGGTGCATAGACGTCCACATCTATCCTCGACTACAAATCAAAATGCAGATGCGTTGTCACCCGTGTGGAGTAAGATGGAATGCCTCGTTTCCTGTAAAAGAGGTCTCTCTCATACAAAATTTGTACAAAAATTTATCCAAAATTTGTCAATAAACAAGTTTAAATGTTTTATTAAAGAAAAATTTTATAAAAAGGTTATTATAATATCAAAGAATACATAAATGAGAATATTGGAAATACTGGAATTGAGGTGATCGCCACCATGGTGGTTCTATTAAAATTCATTTAAAAATTGTACAAATAAAATTATTGTTAAGAGAAATATGTTTATAAAAAAGTCCCGCTGGGTTTCTTACTAGTTCTTCCCAGGACTGAGGTATTTTCCGAACCAGTGGTAAATAAAAAATGTCTTTCAATAAGTATTCTGTAATAATCTATATTTAATAAAAATCATTCTATTCTATTCTCATTCTATAAACTCACCATAATAAACACAGCAGCATTAAGCTGCTATTTAACTTGTGTTTTTCTGACTTTCTAATAAAAATATTTGTAACTCTAATTTTCTAATTTTTAGGTTAGCTATTTTAATATTGTATTTATGTTCCTCTTCCATCATTTCCAGTTGTCTTTTTTTAAAATCTGTGTTACTTTTTACAATTGTTTGGTGTACATCTTCTCTTCTGTAAAATGAAATGGAATACTTAATGTAAGTTTTGTAGTTATTTTAGAAATTTACAAAGTATTCTAGAGTAATAAAAGTGCACTTAACCTTGTACACCAATTAAAGAAATATTTTTTAATTATTTTTAAATCAATTCATATTAAACTTTGCTTTTAATATTTGAAAACATGAAACAATTTTCAGTGTTTAAATACTAATTTTCACATTTTAAAAAGTATGTAAT